GCATGTCTCCCCCGAAAAAGCGTTAAGATGGCTCGTTGTTTTAAAATTTTCAAAAGGGGTACTCACTTTCCGTAGCATTTTAGTTGTAAAGTTGCTACCTAGCAATCTAGCACGCTTTTTGCTATTGGAAAAGTAACAAAACATGTGCAACGTAGCAACTTTACACCTAGAATGCTTCTCAACGTAAGCTCCCGTAATATGTTTCAAGCATTAGTATTATTTATTTGCGCTTTATTTAGAGTCATTTTGACAACCTCTTTTAGATAAAAAGAGTCGCATGATTCGTTGCTTTAACTTTATTAACTTTCAATTTTAGTATATAAGGAAGCTTATAAAGAAAGCTAAACCTCACAATTTCAATTCACTCACTATGAGCATATGCCTAGTGGACCTGAGCCAAAAATTTCCGAAAAGTTGGCAACCGGAGGTTCTTTAAGGAGGCCAAGCCATTGCTAGATCAGAGTAGAATAAGTATTGAGAATATTGTGATGATTGGATAGTTAAAGATTATGGAATTTACGTTCATAAAACTATACATAGGCTCTATTTGTTTATGAATGCCAAACTAATTGGTTGTTGTGCTAATTTAGCTCCAAAGGTTGATGTTTTAAGGAGTAATTTTCTGATATTATTAAGTACTTTTCTCCCTGTCGGAACCAATATATTGATATATATTTTCTAAATATCGGAATACCATCCACGAATCTACTGCTGACCCTTTATTGGATGCGGGAAGGGAAATATAATTCTTTGCTTGCTCAAATACAGATTAACTTTGCACTTAGATGGCATAATTTTGTGGTGTCTACTAAGTCTGAAATACTACTTAATCTTTGAATTCAAATTGCTGCGCAGAAATTTTAGAAGCTTGCATTTAAATGCTAACAAAAACTTCGAAAGCTTACAACATTTTTGCATGTAATTCTCTACTGCTCAAATGATTATGTTCATGTCGGAGAGTAGCAAACTATTTAGTTAAATCTAACTTTTCTTTTGGATCGACTCTTATTTAAAACATGTAGTACATACATACATATATAGATACACTGTACGAAACATTTATTATTTTTTACCTCTACTATGTTCTACACCAAACTAGACTCCGCTTATTCGAAGTACGATTTGTTTTTAATATACTATATAATAAATTAATACATATACAGAAACACAAATAAAAGCAAAAAAATATATTTATATTTTTTTTTTAATATTTAAGAAAAACATTTAGGAAAAATGGTACTTCAAATTAGAAGGAAACAAAACATAAATACAAAACGTTTGAAAAATTTTAAGAGATGTCCCCAAATATGTTGTAATTATTTCCGCTTCCGCACAAAAAAAAAACACTAAGCTGAGGGTGAAGACTGCTTGCTAAGCGCTCGAGAACAATGGTTATGAAGCAAGAGGAGGTAGCTATTTTATGGTTGAGAAAATGCTAAGGTGGAACTCCTACAGAATTAGACTTCCTATAGACTTTCTCAGACGTGGCTTAAGCAAAGCATAGGTTCGGGTATTGGCTAAGTTCACTAGCGTTATGAAAGCGGAAATGTATTACAACACGCCTTTGGCCACTTCTCCCCAGAGTTCTTGTGTGTAAAATTTATTTCGAGGATTTCTACAGCACACCTGCCGCCTGGTCATATCGCTTATTGCCCATTCCCAAACATAGTTATTGGATGTTTTTTTTTTAGTTTTTTTTTTTTTGGTTGCAAAGCGTCAACACTTCAATGTTTATCGCACGTGCTGTGTGTATAAGTAATGAGATTAATAGAAAGAAATTAGTAAATATTTCATAAATTATTTGAAAATTCTTTCTGTTAGTAATAGAGTTGGCAATTTCCACACAGCATCACCTGGATGACTACTAAAAATATAAATACTCGCTTTTCAGGCTAGAAAAAGAAGTACTACAAAAGAAGTATTACAGTTAAAGAACATTTGAATAATTGCGATCTTTCGAAAAATTTACAAAAAATAATTTCATATGGTTTTAGTAGTAATCATAATCCTACAACACAAAGAAAACACATATGTAAATCGATAAAAATAAATAATCACCAAATAAAATTTAACATTTTCTTAAAAAAAAGAAGAAAAACAAACGATAACACAAAAGACTTTTGATATCACGATGATGAAAAATAAAATGTACAAATGTATATTCCAAGTTGTACGTTTACTCCGTACGGTACGGTCTAGGGCAGGGTTTCCAGGATTGTTAGCTGAAGCTTAGCTTCAAATATTTTCTGCCCCTTTGTTGGCAAAGTTAGTTCACAAATGATTTTATTGCATGCCATTTGTATTGACAGCTTCTTAAACATGCGAACTGTGTCGAAATCGTTTCAAGCTTGAAGCTGACAATGAAGTGAGGAATGGTAGACGCATCGGAGTGACACTACGACAATATTTAAAAAGCGTGTGGAAAACGCTTAGAGCACATCAAAAAGAAGAGTTTGTTTAATTAAAAAATACTTTTCATATGCAGGTATGTATTTAAAAGTATTTACACCATTACAAAAAGACGTAAAAACAACACATATTCTTATAAGATAAGTATATACTTGGGTAATACCATTGCGTAAAACTCTCCAGCGAGTAATGCAAATGAAGCGTAATTTCAGAAGCAACGCCCAAAACATACATAAATATTTCTTAGAAATATTTTAAAGATTTTCTTTTGAAAACACACAAACACATTCAATAATTTCAAATGGAACGAGAAGATCGTTTCGTAACTGACGTTTTGGGTCTGCTAACTTTCACATCACTATCATTAAACGGTAAAAATGGAAATGGAAATGGAAATGCTAATGTAAGCTGTCATTAACAAGTAGTTGCGAGTAGAGTATTAGTAACAGTTTTTAATCATACATGGTTTTGCAATTATTTACAGCGACTATTTCTGCAACTGATTTTCTTCAACAATTTCATTCTGGTGAAAGAATATTTTAAATTCAAAAACATTTCTTTAGCGTTTGCGGTAATTTTTGGCGTTAGAGGTATCCCAATAAGTAGCAAATGAACAATTATCCTTAGAAAAAATTGTATAATTCTTTTTGCCATATTTATCGCACAACAAACACAACAAAGCCAAGAAACATCAAGTTAACATGTACATATGCATCTTGTCCAATGAGTTCTTAAACAAGGAAATATAGCTGAGTGTTGATAAAGCTGAGTGTGGTAAAAGATAAACAAAAATGTTAGTAGGTACATGGAACTATGCGACTGTGGTGACTGAGGCAAAATTTACAGCGTTAATTGGATTTTTTAAGTTTTCATTTATCATAGTTATTCGGCTGAGTTAATTTTATTTGTTTTTACACTAAAATTGTGACAGAAAAGAACTTAAATTTTCGAGTAAATAATTTTGTGAACAATAATATGCGGCACAGACATTTTTTATTACGTACAGGTCACCATATTCAGTGCTTTGAGCAGTAAATATAACAAATTTAACTCTACTTTGTTGACCCCCTCTGAGATCACGATATTTACGGGAAATCATAAGATAATCACTTGCGAAAATTTCCCGAATCAATGAGGACTTAATTAATATGTCTTGTGGCGAAAGATAGATAGTGCAAAAACTAAAACGCAGTGGGGGCATCCTGGGCTTTTTAAATATCGAGGCACTAAAGAGTGGGAACATTTTTATGCAGAGCGGGGCCATATGATGTTAGGGTGGTCCCTTCCCCCTTCCCCCTTCTAATAAAACGTATAAAATATTCTCGACGAAAATGTATCACATAGACAGAGTCTTCTGTAACAGCTTTCTCTGGTCGCTACTGAAATAAAGTTCTACCATGCGTATTGTGTACCAGGGGATTTTAGCGATGATTTCAGCTTCAAACGGAAATAAATCAAGATATGGTTTAACAACCTAATGCAACGATTTATTTATGTACATATACAGCTCAGCTCATATCATGCTCATAATTTTAAATGATACCACAAAAATGATCTAGCATCTAGCACTGAAGTCGTCCTATCTGACTTAGAATTGAGATTGGCTGTAAAGATGGCGTCCCATCGTACTGTGATCAAAGAGTCATGATACTTGAAATTTAGCAGATAAAAAAAGGGGGCAAAGTTGGTAGTTCTCAATTAATTCTGGCCTCTAATAGCCTTTAAAAAGTTGAGAAAACTAAATAAAAGAGCCTATGCTTAAAAAATTGCTCATTTTTATTCTGCTCCAAAAAATTCAATTACTTTTGCAAACCTTTAAAGGTTTTTACGGTTAGAAAAAGAAGAAAAACTTCTCTCTTCTTTATTGGCGCTGCAACCGCCTAAGCGATTTTGGCCGAGTCCACAAGAAGAAAAACACGAAAACTTATTTCAGATTAGGATTAAGGGATATAAAATATGTAAGTATTAACTAATTCAGTTCGTCAGACGATGTGTAATTAATTTTATCGAAACTTCAGGCAAAAGGGGCCGTATCCTATAAGAATTTATTATTTATTTAGTTAAGAAGTGAGAACCTATAAAGTTTTGCTCTCAAATAGCTAGAAACGCCTACATATGTCATGCACCGAATTTGATCACTTTATCTTTCACTTTAAGTGTAAAAACAAAAAAAATCTCCCCTGAATATTTTATTACGAGTACGTATGTATAAATATATATGCATGTATATGGATAAATAAGTGTAGATTAAAATATTAAATGCGATGATATTGCTTCAAGGTTATGTGGAACTTAAGAGTTACAAAATAAGATGTAAAATTATAAATTAGAAAAGAACACAAACATACAACACTTAAAATTACGTAATTGAAATAAGAAAAATTAATTTATATAATACATATAAAATATAGCGATAGAAAGTAAAAATAAAACATAATAAAACTTTACAGACGGCAACAAAAACATTTCCGCTTCGAAGATACTCACTATAGATATTCGTAGATAACTATTTATTTATTTATTTCGCTTGATCCGGAAAAGATTTACGTAGATATAAATGTTTGCGCTGTTACCAGAGCATCTCAACTTACCCTCGCGGCGAAGCTGGTGTTTGGCTTCTCGAGCAGCTCCCACAAGTACTTCTGGTATTCAGCACACTTGCCTTCGCCGAACTCTTCTTCGTCCCGTTGTCGCAGCGATTCGGCTTCTTTGCGCATTTCTTCGTGCACATTCTCTTTTCGCTGGTGGTACTTGTGCTGGCAGCACGACTCCAGATACAACTCATCGACCCCCCAGTACTCGAGATCATCACTAAATGCCAGAACACACATCTCGTCGACGATGTGTAGCTTTCCGGTACGATAGAAGTTCAATATGGAGCTGAAACTTTTCGGGTGTCGGTCGAAGAAATACTCGTTGTCGACTATCGAATAGTCGTCGCATAGCTCAATAATTGCCTCGTGCGTGGTGCATTCGCGCAATCGGCCCAGACGTGTGTGCGGCAGTCTTTCGAGTGTGCGCCAGAGAACCTCATGTTTGACGCCGCCTACATTGATGGACACGCGGCTATTCACTTGTTTCGATTGCGCTATCATAAAGGGTTCGGGTGGTGGTATGGAGGACATGGATCTGGAATGTGCGCGCTGCAATGCGCCAGTGCCCATGCTGCCGTGCATATGGGAAGTCGTCGGATTGGAGTGCGTCGGTGATGGTATTGGGAATGGAGCGTATCGCACTTCTTTGCCAACTGCGCCGGTACTACCAGCACCAGTTCCGGTACCGCCAATGCCACCGATGTTTTGACCGCCAGGCGAGGCAACGCCACCAATACCGCCATTGCCCATAGGGCCACCAAGGCCGCCTGCGGTGTGCGTGGTTGTGGCGGATGCGCCAGTAATACTGCCGCCATCATCGTAATCCAAGTTTCCAATGCTGCCGCCACCGATATTGTTGAGATGGCGTTGGCTGGTAGTGACGCTGGTACCGGCAGCCGCAGAAGCAGCTGCGCCATTGTTATAAGCAAGATTGCCAGTTGTTGGGACAGCTCCAGTGCCGCAACCAAATGAACTAGCTCCACCGGTTCCCATCGCTCGGCCCCAATCGACATTACCGCTTGTATCGTAGTAGGCTTGGTTATCGTTGTTGTCGCCAAGGTCGTAGCCCTGGGTGATGTGGCTGAGGCTACTGACGGCAGCTGTTGCTCCAGATGCCGGGCTGCGGCCAAGCGTTTCGTTTTCAATCCAATTACTGGTTTGTTGCTGCTGTTGTTGTTGGAGTAATTGTTGCTGTTGCAATTGCAAATGTTGTTGCTGCTGTAGCTGTAGATCGCGCTGAGACTGTTGCTGCTTTTGCTGTTGTTGTTGTTGGCTAGCAGCCTGTCCACCATGCAGTTGTCCGACCATTTGCGTACCTCCATTATTGAATTGGGGCGGTGTTGCATCACCCGTTTCCCAGCGTACCGTTTCACGGTCTCTATCGCGTTCGCCGACCATAAGTCCGCCACTGCGGTAGAAAATAGAAAGCAAGTTATGTCACTAAATAACACAATTTGTTATTAAACAAACGATTCTTAAAACGCTTGCTGTTGGGGTAAGAAGGTATTTTTCCAATCAATAATATTCTTTAGGTCTGGTGGTTTATGCCAACGAAGCTTACTTGAATAAGCAAGAAGAGAGAGTGCAAAAAGTTCTATAAGGACCTGGGTCTGAACAGTTCTAGTTGAAAACCATCTGGACGAAGGCAGTGGAAGCCACCATTATGAAAGCAGTTGGATAGACACTATATAAGAAAAAGTGTGGCAGAGGCAGCATTTAGAAATTTTCCATATTTTGAGAAGAAAGGTTTGCCATTTTACAAAAACATAGAATTCGGGATCGCTTACAACATTCGTTTGGTTTAATCTGGAAAATGCATTATTGCTACTTATTACTCTGGTTATCGATAACACTTTTCTAGACATGAATTTTAGGCAATATCTCTTTTTTGTCAAAAGTATTAATTAGGCTACTCTGCCCCTCATGGCTTCACATATTTTTGTTTGCTGTGCGTTTCGGCCCATTGGAGTTGCTCTTGAAGTCCGCCTGCCAACGACTCACTACTCATTTTTACTGCTGTGGATTACATTCATTACACATCTGCTCACCAAAGCTCAATGAACTTTGCGTAAAAGCTCCGTAAATTATTTTTCTTGTAATGGTGTCACGCTTTTTCATATCTGTACAACTGTGTCTGTTATAAGAATCGAGCTGTTGGTATTAACTAAAATTTTACTTAACCACTTCGCTTCCAAAAATTTTCCCAAAAATATATGTATAAGCTCTATTGATGTACATATGTAAGTATAAATCTTTTCGAATAATATCTATTTAGAATTGACAAACGCAAAATAAATATACTTACCGCTACATTGCATAAATTTTGTTATTACAGTCTCTCTATAGTAATCAAGCAAATTTTATTTGTGACTCTCAGGAAAATTTTTCTAGATTTCCTTTCAAAATGTGTTCTTTTTTACTAAATTAAACTTAGTTGTATGGTCACGAATCACAAATATTTCCACTATCTTAGTATCCGGTATATTATTTGCAGCATCCACTTCAAAATTATAAGTTTGTATTGCGTAGCGGCTCTCCCACATGTCTTTTTCTAATGATTGAATCACAGGCTGTTTGTTAAGTTCCCTTAGCTAATCCCAAATGGTCGTTCTACTACCACGATGTACATATATTAACTACTAATCGATGTCACACTCTTCGCAATTATTTATCACAACGGAACGTATAACTTTTGGCAGCTTATCAATGCGGTTAGCACTATGATTATCTTCATTATGTGTGCGTTTTTATAGTTGCATTTGTATATCTGAAAGAAACGATAGGATTAAAAAATTTTATTTGTAAGTACATATGTATACACGTATATATATATATATGAGACATTCTTTTTCGTATCGGACACCAAATTTAGTGTCACACTTTCGATTCGCTTCAAAAATTTTTTATGGATTCCACACATAAAATAAGCTAACACGTATTCGAGGCAACTATTTTTAAATTTTTTTCTTCGGAGATATGATCTGTCAAAGATTGGATTTTTTTGTGATTTTGACTAATCATGTACTTCTTCAAATCGTTATATCTCGGGTTCTGCTCATCGTAGAGACATCATCTCAATTTCTGTATATAAGGTCATGATTGTCCTAAAGCTAATTTAGCTATTAACAGTTGCACCTTTTGAATCACGAAAAAATGCAAACATGTCATACCTCTGAAGAAAAAAAATCCTCAAACACATGTTAGCTTATTTCATGTATAAAACCCATAGAAAACAAGTAAAAAAGTCTAAGTTCGCACGGAGCCGAACATTAGATACCCGACGCAAGTATCAAATATAGTTTAGTAGTCAAATGTTGTTTGTTGTCCGAAACATACCGCAACAAGGTAAGCAGGGGTGTATTTATCCCTATTTCACACATATTCGATAAACTTATGTAGTTATATGTGGGCGGTATCACGCCCATTTTCCGAAATTCCATCATAATGTTACTTCTTTTCTTTTTGTGTACATAAATTAGCGTCCTCAAATTTCGAAATATCGAAGTTTCAAGCATTTCTGAAATTTACGGTTATATAAAAAGTGGCCGTAATTTTAGTCCGATTTCAATAATTCTTAGAGTTTTACTTTTATGTGGCAAGCATAATAACCTTACCGAGTTTGGTACAAATTGGTCGAACGGTTACCGAGATACTTATAAGTGATCACAAGCGGGCGGTGGCACGCCCATTTTCCAAAATTTTATCATAAGCGTATTTTGTGTTAAAGAATTATTGCAAACATCAATTTTGAATAAATTTGCTTCGGTATTTACTGATTTAACGAAGATTTAGTATTTCTCTAAATTACCGTTATATGGGATGTGTGCGTGGTTATTGTCCGATTTGAAAAAATTTCAACCGTTTGGTATGTTTTGTCAAGGCCAACACTGTGCCAAGTTTGCAAGAAATTGGTGCAGCGGTTACCAAGATATACACATGTAACCATAAGTGAGCGTGGCTACGCCCATTTTCCAAAAATGTATAATATTCTTATTTTTCGTCTAAAAATTATTGTTCATATCAATTTTGAGTGAATAATCTTCAGGAGTTACTAAAATGTTGCAGTTTTCGTATTTCTAAAATTACCGTTATATTGGAGGTAGGCGTGGTTACAGTCCGATTTCGCCCATTTTCAATACTATCCGTCCTACGCTCGAAGGAAATGTTATCGAAGAAGAAGTTATCGTGTGCACAGACGGACGGACGGACAGACAGTCACCGCTTAATCGATTTCTCTTCTCATTCTGATCATTTATGTATACATTTGTCTATATATATAACTGAGACTTATAAAAAGCACCCAGCATTTTAAAAGCGAGCTATATAAACTTTATGCTTAAAGAACTATATATTCGATTCATTATCTTGCCTTTACCTTTCTCTAGCCAATGGTTGTTGTGTTGAATTATTATTAAATAAGTAAATAAGGCAAATGACACACGAAATCAATATTAATGACACAGAAATCGAATGTTAAAAAAATTAGGTCATGTCTGGAAAAGGAAGGCATGGATAGTTAATCACACAATAAAATTCGTCTTAAAGCATTTGTGTAAAATATACTAATAAGAGTTTCACTATCCTGTCGCGAATTTCATAGTCGACTACTAAAATAGCTGACTTTTGGCCAAGTTATTAAGGCTAACTTTTAATTGTTTTCAAGATCATGCAGACCTCAACCGAAGAAATATGTAGGTGTAAAATTTTTGTTCAAAATTTTCACTTTTAGTAAAAAAACTTGTTTTCAAACAGAAAAAAGAAAAATTATTTTAGCTGCTCTGCGAGTACCGACTTCAATTAGAAGAAAAAAAAACGCTAAAAATCGCCAGCCATGGAAAACTGAGAAATTACTTTTCCATATACAATCAAGACTTTCAGGAAAACTTGGTTTCATCAATTCCCCAGCCGACTGCCGAATAGTGTTAGCAATTTATTTCTTGTCTGCGATGAGATTGATTTTTCAGTGTTGCCCATGTGCTGCACAATTAAATGTATGTACTATATATGCAAATATGTCGATGTATGCATGTAACTGAATGCAACTGAACAGAATATCTAATAGAAAATGCTTAATAAAATATGCAAATGCTTTTAAGTTAAAATCAGGTACAGAATTGAACAAAGAAACAAAACCAAGCTCGACAGAAAAATTGATATGCCAATGAAGTCCAGCAAATGTTGAAGAAGAATATTGGCAGGTTGTCAACTAACTGAAATGTGCAAATGCGCAACTTGTATGGACTCCTTTACATGAGTTAACACAACATGTATTTGCATACGTATACGTATCCATGTATGCACCTGCAAATATCCAGCAAATATGAATGCAAGTGAGTACATACATACTACTTATGTAAGTGTCTTAAACCGGCTGTAGAGGTGCGATTTGGGCTAGTCGGCCACTAACATAATCGCACACCTTGGATGATAACGACTTGCAGCTATACCTGGCAGAAAGCAACGGCAGCGGAAACAAGTCGAGGCTACCAATTGGGCGTTGCACTTCCGCTGCAAATTGGAACAAAGCCATTCCTATTTACGGCAGCTCATTTACAAATTCACAAGGTTAATATAAATCCAAACAATATTTACAACATTCATATTTAGGCTCCATCCATACACACATACCCTGTAGTCAAATGTACTAGTTGTAAACTGCCTCACAACTAGTATGCACCGCATGCCCAACTAGTCAGTCAACTATCTTTTTTCCATGCAACTGGTATTTTTAACATCAGGGTGTCCTACGAGATGGCAATTGTCAGATTTCGGTCAGAAATATACCAATCTGCTAGTTCAAAATAGACCGAAAATACTAGTCCAATTATGGTCCGAAACCACTATTTTGGGAGTCAAAAAATGAAATGAATTTGAGAATATACAATAAAAAACTTTTGATTAAGTACACCTTATTATATTACACATTTTTATTTAGCTGCTTTAGATTTGTCAATAACCCAGGTCCACAAAAAGAATCTATGAAAGGTTCCTTTAACCAAACCTAGTCTGCTATATGTTTTTGGAGTCGCTGAACCCGAATCTGAAGTCCATTTTGCTCCTCACGTCTGGATTTTTTTCTAACCTCAAAAAACATCTCGGATTTTACGTGACACGCAGTTAAGAAATAAAGTATTTTCAAAACTACTGCGTCTGGTGCCCAAATGGTAAATATTGATTTAACTATTTAAATAATTTGAATTTAATTTTTAAACAGGTGGCAGCCCTCTTCAAACACTTTAAAAATATTCTAAACGTTCAAACTTAAGATCTCTTAAGATTCATTCGCTTAACGTTCATATTTTAATATTTCATATAAAATAGACTTTTCAAACAGGTGGCAACCCTCTTCAAAATGTTTACAAACTACTACGTACCTAAACTTTATCGTCTGGCACCCATACATATTTCTATTACCTAATTCCCTTAATTCAAATTGAATTTTATTTTTTAACAGGTGGCAACCCTCATTAAGTTAAGTTAAGAAACAAAGATTTTCAAAACTATTTCCATTTATGCCCATTTTGTAATAATTGGTTTAGCTTTTTAAATAATTGGAACCTAATTTTTTAAAAGGTGGCAACTCCTCTCGAAAAAGTTAAACCTTATTGCACACCTAAAGTCAAACGGTGTGGATCTGAATTGATTATTAAATTATTTGAAAGCAATTTTTCATCAGGTGGCAACTCTTTTCGAAAAAGTAAAACCTCATTGCACATTTAGAGACCAAGCGCTTTAATTTGACATCTCATTTTTGAAAATCGGGCGAACGGTACAGATCTTTCATGCTGCACAAAAAACCCTTCGCGTATTATATATATAGATATGTATATAAATAAGTATTTATTTGTTTATACATATGCATATATGTATTAGAGAGCTGCAAATTTCCCAGCCAAACTGCACTTCTCACATCCACTCGTAAAATAGGGACACATTTTTGCGGTACATATAAAAAAAGAAACCAAAAGTAGAGAACATCCCTAATGAGCGTACCTGAATGATGTTACTCGACGGCGCTCTCCTTCACCTAGGGATAAATCGATACAAGTAAATCCAAGTACATACTCGATACTTTTCTCAATTTACCAAGTAGTTTTTTACTCGATACTTTTTACTGCGATCCAAGTAGGTATCGAAAAAAAAGCACTTGTATCGGAAGCGCAAAACTTATTTTGCTTCAGCATCTTCTTTGATAAGCAACCCATTAGAGGAATGGGAAGATATGCGCACTACATTTCCCCAGCCATATAAGCAAGCCCGTCTATACATAACGGTTGTTGGGTCATCTGTCCCTTGCGAGAGGCTTTTCTCAAAAACAGGTAAAACTATTAGACATGTTTTAAAATTCGAAAATTTGAAATCGACTTGAGTTCGACAATTTTTCCGATAGTTTAACCCATAAATTTACAAGTCTTGCATTAAAATAATTTATTTCATATCGCTGCTGCTTCTTTTACGGTTTTCAATTAGAATATTTACTCTTTTCATCAGATATAATTAAAAAATATTTGGCAATCGAGTCGAGTTCAAAGTTTCGAATTTCAGAACATGCCCGTATATCAAAACTTCGAAACCGCCTTTCATGAAAACACTTGGAAAAGTTGATTTTTTTGGAGAAATATAACAAAAAAGGAGTTATTTTCTTAAACTTATTTTATATGAAAAAACTTTATCTATTATTAATCTTGTAAAAATGTATTTTATTGTTTTTGTATGAAAAAGTATTAGAAGATAAATAATCTTGTAAAAAAAATGCATATTTTTCGT